AGAAAAAGTCTCTTTATAATCGATGCCTTCTTTATGTGTAAAGCCCTTTGCGACAAGACGAGCCTTATACCTTTCTACATCACCTTTCGAATCCCTCTTGGTCTTAAATATCCATTTGCAACCAATGGGTTTCGCACCTTCAGGCAATGGAACGAGGTCCCATACGTCATTGTCCTTCATGGACTTTATCTCTTCATTCATAGCATCGAGCCACTTTTGAGAGTTAGAACTTTCTATGGCTTGACGGAAGTTGATCGGATCATCTTCCACCATTCCAATGTCAACTTCGTGTTCTTGAAGAAATACGATGTAATCATTCGAAATCGTACTTCTCCTCTCTCTAGTGGATCTTCTTAATGGCATTGGTTCTTGAGGGTGTAGAGTTTGTTCTTCTGGAACAATTTGTTGATCTTGAGAGGGAGGTATGACATTGTCTTGATCCAGAGTTGTTTCTGAACAATATCAGGGATAGAAACCTGATTATTGTCAATGGCAATTGGAGGAATTTCAACATATTCTTCCTCAAAGATAAAGCCTGTAACCCTTTCTCCCCCCGCAAACTCAACATCCTCAAAGAACCTAGTATTTCCTGTCTCGAAAATTGCCTTAGTTATGGGATCATAAAACTTGTAACCCTTGGACTTTTCAGAATATCCAAATGGAATAGCAACTGATGGTCCTTGCATCCAGTTTCTTTTCATTTGGCTTATAGGGCCTTGCCTCAGCTGGACACCCCCAAATATGTATATGCTTCAAACTAGGCTTCTTGTCCGTCCAAAGCTCATATGGGATTTTATCAGTGGCCTTAGTTGGAACTCTGTTGAGTATATAAGCTACAGTCTTTAATGCTTCACCGCAGAGAGATTCTGGTAAGGTAGAATGACTAATCATACTCCTCACCATGTCCTTAAGCGTTCTGTTTCCTCTTTCAGCAACACCATTCATAGTGGGCAAACTCGGCATAGTGTACTGTGGGACGATACCGCATTCCTCTAGGAATTTAGCAAACGATCCTGGACGCTGTCCACCTGAACCGTCATATCTGCCATAGTATTCACCCCCACAGTAAGATCTGACACTTTTAATCCTTTTGCCGAGTTGGTTCTCAACTTCAGCTTTATAGTTTTTGAACACATTCAGTGACTGTGATTTTTCATGAATGAGATATATGTAGCCATATCTTGAAAAGTCGTCTATGAACGTTGTAAAATATTGAACCCGTTGGGAATGGTCCACAAATATCCGTATGTATAAGTTCTAAGACGTCCGAAGTCCTATTGGCTTGAAATCTCCTTTTATTGGTTTGTTTTCCCTTTATAAAGTTGACACACAAATCATAATCTGTGAAGTCAAGAGGGTCGAGAATCCCGTCAGACACAAGTCTCTCAATTCTCCTTTTGGAGATGTGACCTAATCTCTTGTGCCACAACGAGGCAGAATTCTCACCGTTTAATTTTCGCTTTACACCTCGAGTACTTACATGCAAGGTTTCATTATAAGAAGCAATTGTATCAATTGAATAAAGATTATCGTAACCTGATAAATAACCGGAACCAACCAATTTTGAATCATGAAACAAACTAAATTTTCCATTTCCAAAAGAACAAGTATAACCAAATTTGTCCAAAACAGAAATAGAAATCAAATTCCGTCTAAAAGACAGTACAATAAATGTCTCAACAAGATCCAAATAAAATCCAGTTTTTAACAATAATCTAAATTTTCCTATTGCCTCTACTTCCATTCTATTGCCGTCGCTAGCATAGATGTATCTTTCACCATCACTTTGTTTTCGGCAACTCAGGCAACCCTGCATAGATATACTGATATGAGTTGTTACACTAAAATCTATCCCCCATGTATGTCTAGGTACCGAAGTTAAATTAACCTCAGAACAAACCAAATGAAGAAGAGTACCTTTCTTTACATGCCATGCGTGATAATTGGTACAATTCTTCTTCTTATGACCTGCAGCTCCACAGAAGAAACAACCGCCTTCAGTTGGTTCCTTATGCTGTTTCTTTTGTGGTGTCGTACCTGCAGCTTCCTTATTAATCTTCCTTTTCTTGTTGCTTTTGTCCTTAGAGGTGGTGGCTAAATGAACATTTTCTGTCTTTTCATGCTTCAATCTTTCCTCTTCCTGGACACAGTGTGAGATGAGCTCATTAAGGGACCATGAGTCCTTTTGACAGTTATAGCTCACCCTGAATTGACTGAAATGTGCCGGAAGGGATATCAGAACCAAGTGCACTAACAAGTCTTCAGATAAATCCAACTTGAGTGCCTTTAGTTTTGAAGCAATGTGAGACATTTCCATAATGTACTCCTGAATGTTTCCTTTCCCTTTATACCTCATTGAGACAAGATTTGCCAAAAGTGTACTTGTTTCAACCTTTTCATTCTTGGCAAACCTCTTCTCAAGGTCCTCAAGGAAACCCTTAGCCGTAGTCACCTTATCGGACATAGTGCCCCGGAATGCTTCTGGAATGGCACGCTTCATGACCATTAAGCTTATGCGGTTCGATCGTTCCCACTTTTCCATTTCCCTCTTGTCATCAGAGGTACTCTTATCAGCAAGTACAGCAGGTTGATCGACCCGTAAAGCAAGGTCTAGGTCCATGACTCCAAGAACAATCATAACGTTCTCTTGCCATGCCCTGAAGTTTGTGCCATTTAACATTGGAATTGAATTGATGCTAGCAGAGATATTAGCAGCAGAACCTGAAATTGAATTAGAGAACATTTATTATGAATAGCTCACATGAATATCTTTAATATGCAAATTATAATAATAATCTCAAATAGAGGTAGGGCCCATCACAAGATACCAAGCACAACATCAATATCCAGTATTTGGACAGAGATATTAACTTGTAAGCGGTACTCTTGGAGTAGTGATCAAACATTGACGATAAAACAACGTGTCAATCAATAAACCTTTCTTTGGACCGATTTATTGATCACACATTAAACCAAATAATCGTCACACGTTTATCACCACAGGTGCACGTGTATTCGGCTAAATATTGGTCTTCCTTTGTGCCGACCAATATTCCCATGAATAACACATGCACAAACACTTTTTTTTAACATTCTAAATTAGTCAATTTTCACAAGAGAGGTTACTTTGGCAACATGTTGCTTCAATTAACTAACCTTCGAATATTATATTTCTTAAAAGAGTCTTTAGTACCAAAATTTGAGAAAGAGAATCACCAGTTTTGCATATTTTGATTAGTTTTAAACTTTAGGGGCCTTAGGATTAATAATTCAAAACTTTAAGGGGGCAAAATTAATTAATTCCAAACTTTAGGGGTTGAAATTGACCAATTCGAAACTTTAGGGATCAAATTTTAAAAATTTGAAACTTGAGGGGTCAATTTGAATTAATTATGAACTTAGGGGGGCCAATTTGAACTAGTAATTAAATTTTGAGGGCTTTAATTATAAATTCAGAACTTTAATGGCCTGAAATAATTAATTTTATAACATTAGGGACTGAATTATTAAATTCGAAACTTAAAGGCCCAAATCTTAATATAACTCAAAGGTTAGGGACTGAAACCTTAATTTTATAACCTAACCCTAATTGCAACTAAGGACCTCAATTCATCTAATTTACAGAAGAGGCCCCCGCCCCCCAAAATCCAAAAAATTGAAAAAACCTATAAAAATTTTTTTTTTCTCTGGTGGCGGTGCACTCCGACGCTGCCTGGTGGAGTGGCGCCGGCGTGCCTGGGCAACAGCCCGCTCAGTCACCGACGACACACCCGCCGCCGACCAGATTTTCTTTAATTAATTTTTTTTTTAAACGCGTACAGTAATCTTCCAAATCCAAATTTTCTCAACCAATTAATTCGAATTTCGAAAATAACAAGAATTATACCGCAAAAATTTTCAAATTTAACAAAATATATAACCAAAAAAATCGTTAAATTTGAAAATTTCAAAATATATTTCAAGAACCAGACTAAATTATTCGATTCTCAATGATTCAACATGAAGAGGATCTGATACCACTTGTTGGATAATTTCATGCTTCAATTACTGGATCTTTCATGTTAAATCATCAAGAAATATAAGAATTAAAGCGGAAGCATACCTGAATCAGACATGATTAATGCAATATGAATTTCGCGGTATAGTCTTCCAAATCTACACGCAGTCTCATTTTCCTCTCTGTGATGGGATGCAGTAGAGAATGAATAATTCGTTGCGTGTGATCTGGGGACCATAACCTATTTATACAGGGGATGCCCTTTGACCTAATTCGGCCCATCATAGAATTAGGACTTGGGCCCGATCTCTACACATGTGTAAACCCATACTTTAACTGGATACATTAAAGCCCAAAATCGAAACCTTATTAGATCACTTTAATTGGACTCAACCGAATTCGATAACCTATAATTTAACGCACAATTATTCACACATACAAGCCCATCTTTAATTAAAAATTCTTACACAACCTTCAACTTGTTTTACATTCACCGCATACTACCTCAGGTGGCCAAATTATTAATATTTTTATTCCATATTCTAAAGCATATAACAACCATACAAACCAATATCATCATCCTGTTCCAACTTACATCTTTGGCACTCTTCATAAATTTTTCTCTCCGTGAAGAGAGAGCGAAATAAAAGTTCATAGAGGAAAAAATAGTAAATAAATGAAAAAGGCTTTTAATTATCACTGAACAAACACGTTCAATGACATAAAGAAAAATAGTGCGTGAGGCTTCCAAACTGAGTCAAGGAAACCAATGGACCAACACTAGTATGCCATAGCTCAAAATTTAGTGTCTTCCTCGTCCATGTTGTAAATCAAGTTAAAATAGTAAAAATTCACCATTCAAAGATCACAAGAAATAGGAATCAAGAATCTTTACCATGAATCCATAAAGTTTTCACTTGTCCTAAAATACACTTAGGCCATGTTTGACCAATATTATTTAAAAAATACATTCTTAAACAGTGATTTGATGTTACTTCAACCACAAATTCTTCAATAAAATAATATTACACGCAATTTTAAAATTTTTCCTTATTTTTTAACTACACATTTCTTATCAATACACTATTTAAAAATGCAATCTTATGAAAATAATGTGGCTCAAACAAGGGCTTAATATGCAATCTATTACTCAAACAATTCTATGCAAATATAAAATATTAGAGTAAGAAAACAAATATTAACTAGAATGATCCTGCAATTCTTTTAACAGATTCATCTCTTCATAGTAGAGTCCCAGCTTCAACTTTTGTTCAATAGAGCTCGTGTATCTAAGGTTTTTTTCCTTTCTTGCTTCAACCCCAAAAACACTTTGAAATGACCCATCTTCACATCAATCAATCAATTAAAAATATAGCATCTTTTTCTATTCAAAAATCACACCATTTACCAAATAGGCAAATTCATGCACACTTGTTGAATGAAATCAAAAGGTAAAGAAAGGAATTACGTAGTTATTAGGAAGGACAAAAAATAAAATAAAATAGAGCCAAGACAAATATTCAAAAAATCAAGAAGCATAAGAGGAACTAATGATATATCCACACGAAATCATACTCGTACAAATCAAAGAAAGGGTCAGATTGTATTATATTAGGAAATGAAAAATAGACAACCTGTTGCAAATGTAGGACGGGTTAAATTCACCAATGCCACTCAACTTTATACTTAGTTTCATCATGGCCACTCAATTTCATTTTGTTTCACTAGGGCCACTAAAATTTTTATTTAGTGTCACAATAGGCATCTAATTTGATTTTATTTTTCCGTGACCATCCAATTTCATATAAACTTTCACTATAACCATCCAATGTCATATAACGTTTCATTATGATCATACAACTTTTTTCACCATTTCACTAATTTTAAAAAGGGGTAAAACTGTAACTATGAATAATATATGTAAAATAAATTTTTAAAAAAAAAAAAAGGTTTTTTAAAATAAGTTTTATTTCATTGTAAAAAACTTTTTTTAAAATAAATTTATATTTTTTTTATGGAACCTTTTATTTTATTTTAATTTTGAAAATAACATTTTAGGGTTAATTTCACAAATGGTCATTGAACTTACACAAAAATTACAAAACGATCACTGAAGTTTAAAACTTTCAGTAACGGTCACTTAAGTTTCGGGGTGCTTTCAAAAACGGTCACTAAAGTTTAAAAAATTTTGAGCTACTTTTACGGCAACTTTTCGACCACTTCCGATCACTGATACCATCGGATTTTGATACCTTGGAATGCTTACAATGTCCTCTTCAATTCCCACAAAAAATCTCCCTCAAACTTCAAAGGATTCAGCAAGAATATACTTGCAAAGTTGGCTACCCGAAAAGGCAAAATCTACCCAGATTTTTAGATTTTTTTAGGGACTTTTGCACCAATTTTTTGACAACTTCCGACCACCAAAACCGCCGGATTTCGATACCGTTGGAAAACCCACAATGTCCTCTTTAGTTACCATCCAAAATCTCCCCAAAACTTCAAAAGATTCGGTCGGAATAAAGTCACAAATTCGGCATCCCAAAAAGGTAAAAATCTAGGCAGATTCGGGACTTTGTGGGTTTATTCCGGTCATATCCCTTGGAGTTTTGGGGAGATTTTGGATGGTACTTAAAGAGGAGGTTATAGGCTTTCCAATGGTACCAAAATCCACCAATTTTGGTGGTCGGAAGTTGTCAAAAAATTGGCGCAAAAGTCCTTCAAAAAATCTGAAAATCGGGCAGATTTAGCCTTTTCGGGTAGCCAAATTTGTGGGTTTATTTCGACATAATCCTTTGGAGTTTGAGGGAGATTTTTTTTTGGAATTGAAGAAGACATTGTAGGCTTTCTAGTGGTATGAAAATCCGGTGGTATTGGTAGTCGGAAGTTGCCGAAAAGTTGCCTCAAAAGTAGCAAAAAAATCTGAAAAATATTCCCAAATTTGCGCCTTTTTGGGATACCGATTTTGTGGGTTTATTCCGGTTCTAAACCTTTGGTGTTTGGGGGAGATTTTGGATGTCAATTGAAGAGGACATTGTACGCTTTTCAACAGTGTCAAAACTCAGTGGTTTTGGTGGTCGAAAATTGTCGAAAAATCGCCCAAAAATCTTAAAATCTGGACAGATTTTAAGATTTTTTGGGCGACTTTTGCGTCGATTTTTCGATCGAATTCCTTAAAGTTACGAGGAGATTTTGGGTGGTAATTGAAGAGGACGTTGTGGGCTTTGCAACGGTATCAAAATTCGACGGTATCGATTGTTGGAAGTAGCCGAAAAGTTGCCGCAAAAGTTACCCAAAAAATTGAAAGTGTTTTTAAACTTCAGTGACCGTTTCTGAAAGTTTTTAAACTTCAGTGACCATTTTTTAAAGCATCCCAAAATTGAAGTGACCGTTATTGAAAGTTTTAAACTTCAGTGACCGTTTTGTAATTTTTTCGTAAGTTTAGTGATTGTTTGTAAAATTAACCCTAACATTTTATTTAAAATAAGTTTTTATTTTATTTTCAAATTTTTTTTTATAAATTTTTATTCTATTTTAAAAGCATTTTTTAAATAAGTTTTTAATTCATGTTTTTAATAAACTATTTTTATAATAACTTTTTATCTATTTTATTTTTCCGAGTAACTTTTTTAACTTTATATTATTTTTAAAAAAAATTTAAAAAGTTTTTATTTTATTTTAAAAAATTTTTATATAAGTTTTTATTTTATTTTTATTTTTCTAACCAACTTTTTTACATACATTTTTATTTTATTTTAAAAACATTTCTTTTAAAATAAGTTTTTATTTTATTTTGAAAACCTTTTTTTCAATAAGTTTAATTTTTTTTTTAAGTAATATTTTTTAAAATAATTTTTTACTTTATTTTTTAAGCAACCTTTTTTAAATGAATTTTTATTTCATTATATTTTTATTTTTAAAAAAAAATTATTTTATATATAATACAAATTTACCATTTTACTCCTTTCAAAATGAGTGAAAATGGTAAAAAGAAGTTTAGTGGTCATAGTGAAACGTTATATTAAATGGATTAGTGATGGCAAAAAAATCCACCCTCCCCATTTGATTTTAAAATTTGCATTCACCAATGGCCATCTAACTTTATACTTAGTGTCACCATTACCAACCAATTTGATTTTATTTCATTTTGACCACTCAGCTTTATATTTAGTACCTGTTTTGCTCCGCCATTTGGATGATTAAAATTATTTGTTACCATTAGTGGGTTCCACGTCAACATTTGAGTGTGAGTGAAGTCAACAATTGCGACTACTAATGATCTAATAATTTATTAATGAAAATTGCCACCAAGCAAACATTTAATGTGAGCATGGCCACTCAATTTAATTTTGTTATACCATGACCCAAATTTCATATAACTTTTTCCAATGACCACAAAATATCATATAACATTTCACCATGATAACTCATCTTCTTTTCAATAATTTTAAAAAGGGATAAAATGATAATTTTGCATTATATATGTAAAATAAATATTAAAAATTAAAATAAAAGTTCTTTATTTGAAAAATTATTTTTTAAAATAAGTGTTTATTTTATTTTATTTTTCTAATTAACCTTTTATTAAAACAAGATTTTATATATTTTTTAAAATCATTTTTTTAAAATAAGTTTTCATTTTATTTTATTTTTCTTAAAAACGTTTTTTAAATAATTTTTTATTTTATTTTAAAATTACTTTTATTAATTGTTATTTTATTTTAAATCATCTTTTAAACTAAGTTTTTATTTTATTTTAAGTTTCTATTTTCCTTAAAATAAGTTTTTATTTTATTTTAAAAATGTTTTTTAAATAAGATTTTTTATTTTTTTTTAAAAATAAGTTTTTATTTTTATATTTTGTTTATATATAATGCAAGTTTGCCTTTTTACATTTTTAAAATTACTGAAAATGGTGAAAAAATTCAGTGGCCATAATAAAATGTTATATGAAATTGGGTGGTCATGGTAGAACACTACATGAAATTGGATGATAATGATGAAATAAAATCAAAGTCAGTGACCATGGTGACAATAAATATAAAGTTGGGTGGCCATAATGAACTAAATCAAATTAGATAGCGACGCTGACACTAATTATAAAGTTGGATGACCATTCTTCAAAATAACCCTATGTAAGACACTCCAATCCAAAAATAATTAAAGGATTATAGTCTACTTGTACAAATGCATACTGAAGTCAAACTCGTTGCATCATCATTTTCCTTCATTACGATGTAAAAGAGAATTACCCAGAAAATATGACGCTTTCCACATATAAACATAAAATAAATTTATAAAATGGAGATTTTAAGAAATTCTTTTACCTGGGTTTCGAGCCATGACCAGGGTTCCTTTGAATTGAAACAGTGATTTCAACGTGAAACAAGGCGTCCCTGGTGAAGGGTAAAATCTGATGAACGAAGATTATCATTGAGCACTACATCGAAATTTTGCACAAGAATTCCCATTTTCGGTAGTATAAATGAAAATGGAGTACCAACAGAATTTCTAGATGTTTGTGGGTATGAAAAGATCAACATATTCACGAAGATTGAGAAATGAATTGATTCTAACATCTGGAATAAACAAAAACTGAATTCAGTTTTTTCATCGAAGGGATAAATGTAACAAAATTTTGATCCTTACCCAATTATTCATTCACGCATTGCATCTATTTAATATTTTCTACACACGCTGCTTGTCCTACATACAGCAAATTGAAAATTAGCTCACCTTCAAAAATATCATCAATAAATAAGTATTAACTTTGAAATCAAAAGAGAAAATATGGGAATCAATAAATCAAACCGAAGCCTCACAATCTAAGCTTTTTCATCTTCACCACTCGTGATATTTACTTACGCAAACTTAAAATCAAGACCCAGCAGAAACTATGTAGACGAAAAACAAATCTGGAAAATTTTCATATAAAGGTACAACTTTTAATAATATCACCTACAATAGCATTCCAAAAGATGCTATAGAACTTGATAGATAGTATTCTTTACAAGCTATAGATAAGTTGATATGGAAGTGACAAAATGGATGTTTAAAGTGGCTCCACATGGTCACACATATTTCACTTACAAAAGGTGACATAAAATTGGCATCCACCCTGACCAAAAATTAACTACCTGCCTATCATTAACCCTTTCGAAAAACGCAAGAGCCAACTCTATTCAATTACTTGTTTCCACCAACTTTCTGTACATATCTTTTCTACAAATTAATAACGCATCAAGCACCTTCTTTTAACTTTCTGACCTTTTTTGTTTGATAAAATTTGTTCAGGCTGATAAGTTGATAATGAAGAAGATTCTAGAGCTGTAAGAAGAGATAAAAGTGGCGGGAGTTTGTGTTATTTCTCAATCTACTTCAAATGAAGAATGCCAGTACATATATATGCACACAAGTGCAATCAACTGACTTAACAGAAAAAAAGGTCAAAAGACTTAAATATCTCTATGCTAATGTTGCTTAATGCACCCCCTCAAGATGGAGGATGGATGTTTAATACTCCCATCTTGTTTGATAACAGCTTGAATCTTGCTCCTCCTAAGGGCTTGGTTAATAAATCAGCCACTCGATCATGTGACACCGTGTATAGCATCTTCACTTCTCCTGCTTATACCTTAATCCTCACCAAATGATAATCTATCTCTATGTGATTTTTTTCATTCATGAAACACAGGGTTACCAGCTCTGTGTATTGCAGATTGATTATCATAGAACAACAATGCTGCCTTAGCATGCGTAACACTCAAATCATTGAGAATGTTATTCAACCAGCTCAATTCACAAACTGCAGCTTCCATGGATTGATATTCCACTTCAGCTGAAGACTGCTGTGAATCTACTTATCACGTGCAGCAAAAAAATAGAACAAATTTCGATTTCCACCAATGATCTCTTTGTGTTTAGATAGAAACTGTGATATAGATTGTACCTTTTATGAGATCTCCAAACTCATTTGCTATTCTTTTGTTCCAACTATCTTGATTAGCCATCCACAGTTGTCCAATTATCCAACTTCCAATGGAAATCTACACAGATAACAAGATTGTAGGTGCCAGAATTTTCTCCTCTTGTGTTAGCAAGAATAAATTCTTTTCAGATTTTGAAAACCCTGGTCACATATATATACTCAGTCCAATATTTAATTAACCAATCCGTAATTCGGGCCAATAAATAAGTAACACAATTAATTAATTTATCTGACGCTTGTTAAATCAATTAATTGACAAATCATAATCTTTCAGTTCTTCTTTTATGTGTGACCCATCATATTCCCGATTACAATGTCTAATGACGCGAAATTTTATTTTAATCTAATCAAAATTGATAAATTAAAACACCCTTTTAATTTATCACCAATTCACACTCGCCATTCTAGATTAACATTTAGCAATGGTCAGAGCAATACATGTGACGGGAAATGTAACGTGGTATGTCAAAATCAAACTTGTTCGTTTACGTGAAATTATAATCCATTCATCAATATAATCTGATCAATTACGAGATATGAAAGTATACCAATCTCGATTATCGATCATATCTTCCATTCTACTATTAAGTAAATATAAGTCGAAAACTTATTTTCGACTTATGAGTACACCTTGGCCAAAGATTTCGTTATCGACTTAATTGAATGAAATACAGATCATAATCTCTTGCTATCTAATAGTGACGAATCCTCTATTGGTCATTCACAACCTTCATAGGATTCCTGACATACCAGAACAATGCCGTATTAGCTGCTATTGGCAAAGCAACATCCAACATTGTCAAAGCATGACTATTCTCATATAAGGCATTATGACGAGCTCAAGTCAAAGGACCAATTCCACTACTGAGTATTAAAGATTAACCACTGACACTCAGATAGTTATTCATGTGGAATCTCTTAGTAGGTCTCCAATATTTTGTTCTATAACAAAACATCCAGATATTTATTCAAGTGTCACCACACTCTAGATTGTAAGATGAGCTACTTACTTCACAAGTAAGAAATGTCATACGTGATGGTCTATCCATAATAACGATATCCATATCTCGTTATTACTTACAACGGATGATTTAAGATTCAATCATATGTAATTTATATCTCACAATCACAATTCCTTGTGATTAACAAATTACTAAGATTTGAATCTACCGACTCCATTATTTAATTCAATTGAATATTAATTAATTAAATAATATATCTGCCATAAATCGCATCAACTATTTATTAAAAGTGTTTATGTCAAAATTCAAATGGACTTATGGCATAACACTCATAAGGACCTTGAAACTGTGTTGATTCTTAGACTTCTAGGATACAAGTGAGTTACCCAGAAAAATGTAATAACCAGTAATGGACCTTCTTGTGTCTAAACATGCTGCCTAATCTGCATCACAAAATCCTTTGAGGTGTAAATCAGATTTGCTTTCAAAGAACAAACATTGTCCCAGTGTACCCTTCAAGTATCTTAATATATGATGAGCTACTTCCAAATGTAGTTGTTTTGGTGACTGAAGAAACTGATTATGACCTGCACGGCACATGATAAATCAGGTCTTGTTCTTGTCAAGAATATGAACCTCCCCACTATCCTTTTGTATATACTCGCATCTGCAACTCGTTTCCCATCATTCATGCTCAATTTCAAGTTGTGTGGCAAAGGACTATTTGTAGGCTTGGCTCCAAGATAACCATCGTCTGTTTATTTCTCCAGTGCATATTTCCTTTGACAAATCAATATACCTTTTGAAGTTCTTGCTACCTCAATCTCCGGTGCATATTTCATTTGACAAATTGATATACTTTTTGAAGCTTTTGCTACCTCAAGTCCTAGGAAGTATTTCAGAATTCCCAAGTCTTTTAATTTGAACTGTTCATTCAATTCCTTCTTAAACTACGCTATGCCAGATAAGTCATTATCCCTTATGATAATGTCATCCACATAAATGAAAACGGTGAATGAGCAGCCGGCTTGTTTGCTGAACAATGAGTAGTCAGATTTCAATTGCCTAAAACCTTGTGATATGATGTACGAAGTAAGTTTAGCATTCCATTGTCTTGAAGCTTGTTTGAGTCCATAGATGGATTTGTTTAACTTGCAAACCAATTGCTCCCCATTCACTCCTTGCTACTCATAACTTGAGGCAGCAACTTGTACACTTCATTATCCAGCTCACCATGGAGAAAGGCATTATTAATATCTAACTGATGAAGGTGCCACCGTGTAACACCACATGTTCGTCTTTATATGATAATTAAAATGTTTTTCCTTACATTTAATTCTTAACTCATAAATTTAATGTTGTCTTTACTAATTATATGTTTGCAGTGGGATGTACCTCAGACGCCTTAGACGATCTCGTGCCTATTAAAGTTAAATTTAATAAGGTGAAAAAAATTAAGAAGTATAATATAGATGTACTTACTTAATTATTTGTTTGCTCCTCATTAGATTTTATTTAACTTAATTGACTCAATAATTAGAAAACAAATAAATTATTGTGTACGCCAATTAAGCCCAATGATGGGAAATTAGACCTAATTGGAAGCAATAATATGTTACCCATAATGGATGCACTAGGATTAGAATTAGAAATTTTAACTCACTTTTTAAAGGAAATAAAACATCATTTACCCATTCCTGTCAAAATTACGTGGAGCGCACCCGACCAATGTTCAATGTTAATGTTAACCGCTTTGCGGTTGAATGATGAATGTTAATGTTAATGATAACCACTTTGCGGTACTACCGATAGGACTCGACCGGGTTCCAAATAATAATTGCCTAGTGCATTCTGATTGGCTATAGGCGATACATCAAGTGAGCTCACGACGTCAATATTTACGTTTTCAAAGAAATGAAAGAATGGGTATACATAATGAGAAGTGTTTCTATTTTAAAGTAGCTCATATGCATATCATGAACATGTGTCATATGCATGAGGTTTGCTTATTGAGCATTAGCTCATCCCACGTTATCCCTCTTCATTTTCAGATGATGCGAGATGACGACTTGGGGTGACACGGACTCGGTACCAATATAGTTTAGATTGGATTTCATTTTAAAATAAAGTGAAAATTTATTTTTAATTGTTCTATATTTTATTAAGCTCAAAAAAAAATTATTTTGAAATATAAGCCTAGGATATTCATTTTGGTTAAAGAAGAATGTAATCGCTTTCACATTTATGCTTTCAAGAGGAAGTTAAATGGTAATATCTCCAAATTTAGGTATCAAAATTTGGGGGTGTTACACACTGCTTCTGAGCAGCAACAGCCAAGAGATTTTTTACTATGACTAATTTAGCAACAGATGAAAATGTTTCTTCATAGTCCAAGCCAGCTTGTTGGGTGAAACTTTTGGCTACGAGTCGAGCGTTCTTTTTGTCCTCTGTCCCATCTGAACGAAGCTTAACTTTGAAAACCCATTTACAAGCTACAGGTTTTCTTATGAACAGGAAGTGTGGTCACAGTCCAAGTGTTGTTGGAGACAAGAGCTTGGTACTCTGTGTCCATAGCCTTACACTCGTCTAGATGTTAAGAAGTTTCAGCATATGATTGAGGTTCATACACAGTGGACAGAGCTAGCATGTAATTCCTATGAGCATCGGACAACATGTCGTAGCCCAAGTAGTGCGAGATAGGATACTTCCTTCCAGGAGCAGGACCTTTTTCCACAGAATCTGACTGGGGTTTAGGCGTCTGAGATACCAAGCTGCAATGATAGTCATGGAGATATGATGGTGGTTGTTTAGGTCTACCAGACTTGCGAGGAGGAGTGATATGTGGTGAAGAATATGCTTCAGGTGGAGAGATATCAGGAGATGTTCCTCTGTTTGAAGAAGATCCAGGAGTGGGAACATTTGAGCTGGAGGAGTGGTCAAGAGAAGGGAAAATAGTATCATGTGTTGATGAT